CCATACCTGAAAGCTAGCCAAGATAATTCCAATACCTAAACCTGGCTAAGACACTAACATGGGGTCATTCTATCGACCCAATAGCCAAAACACTGGAAAAAATTATCCTTGCCACAATCTCATCTCATCTCCCTAACATTGAACACCAACATGGCTTCAAACAACACCATTCTACCATAACAGCACTCCAACATATCACAGAACACATAGCCACAGGTTTCAATCAAAAACGCCCACCACTTCGAACAAAGGCTGTAGCATTAGACATGAGCAAAGCATTTGATACGGTTAATCTGCACACACTCATCAACAAACTTTCCACAGCCACAATAGAGCACACTACACTTAAATACATAGCAAATTACATCAAAGGCAGAAAAGGCTTCACAAAAGTCAACAATACCAATTCAAAACAGAAATTATTCAAAACAGAAATTATTCAAAACAGGCGTACCACAAGGCAGAGTCCTATCACCCACACTGTTCAATATATACATTTCAGATATACCCTCACCTCCACCCAATATCAAAATAATTACATATGCAGATGATATAACTATCTTATCCTCCCAAAAAGACTATAACACTGCTGCACAAGTCCTTCTTCCATACCTACAGACCATACACACATGGACCACAGAAAACCATCTACAACTCAATGCAACAAAAAGCACAGCCACTCTTTTCACACCTGACCCGGCCTAATATAGCACACAACTCAACCTCAATATCAATAACACACTCATTCCAACAGTATGCAACCCTAAAATACTTGGACTTACCTTTGACCCAAAGCTCACCTTCAGCACACACATTAGAAATACTCACGACAAAGCCAATAATACCATCAAAATAATCAAATCACTTGCAGCCACACAATGGGGAAAACAAAAAGAACTACTCACAACCACATTTCAAACAATCACGCGTCCAATTCTTGAATACGCAAACTCATCCTGGTCACCAATAATATCACCCACGCACGTGAACAAACTCCAAACAGTCCAGAATGCAGCACTCAGGATAGCCACAGGTTGTACTGGAGACACCAACATCCATCACCTTCACCAGGAAACCAAACTCCTACCCCTAACACAACCCCTCAAACTTCACGCCTCACAACTCAGACAGAAAGCACAAAACCCAACCCACCCACTAGGTACATACCCTCACCCTTCAGCCGCACCCACACCATCTCATGAAACAAACCATTTTCCACAACACAGGTTTCACCACCAACATAGATACTCCACCTGCACAAGCTACACAGGACACAATCAAACAAAATCTCAAAACAATCCACACTACAATTACAGAAAACTATCTTGCAACCCTCCCTCACAATAAAATTTTAAACATGCCCGCACCACAGATTCACCCATCTGAAATCAACCTACCTAGACCTGCACGCAGGAACCTTGCCCAACTTCGCACAAACAAATCACCGCTACTTCTCTCGTATCTAAATAAAATAGACCCTGCCACACACCCTTCTCCACTTTGCCCACTCTGTCTGTCCAACACGCATGACACCATTCATCTTTTCTCCTGCCCTGAAATGCCCACATCCCTGTCGGTGGGTGACCTTTGGGCGGACCCCATAAATGCTGCTGGGCTGCTGGCCCGCTGGGGCAACCAACTTGGCTGGCCCCAGAACTGGGTCTAGGCCCCGCCTCACGCCGTGAAGCTTGGCGGGGAGTGTCAACTACAACAACTGTCCTAATTTACCCTGCCTGTCCCTTATTACCCTGTTTGACGGTATATCTCCTGCATCCATGACCCATCCATCCACAAATTGCTTGAAAGCTTCAGGCGTCTTGTATGCCTTGAAATAGTTCAAGGTGTATTGGCTGACAACAAACACCAAATAGTTAAGTAAATCCTAATCCAGTGTGAGACAGGAGGCAGGCTTACAAAATCTGCACACCACTGCTTTGCATAGTGGCAAAGCAGAGAGTTTATAGCACATTTCTCATTTATGGAAAAAATGAGCTATTGTGCTCGTCATGTCCATCTATCTGTGACGACCGTCTGTCTGTCCGTTTGTGACGGATGGACGGACATGAGAAAATGTGCTCTCAATCACTTACTGCAGTGCAGTGAGTAGGTACTGATCTAATTTTTTAGACTCTCCTTCAAATTCAATTTTAAGTCCTATAAGTACTTAAGAGTTGAGTAGACCAGAAAAGTATTATGGATACCAGCATCATCATACAAAAGATATTGGCTTAAATCTTGAGTAAATGAGAAAATTAAAACTGAACTGATTCTAAAACACCACTGGTTTGCCACTATGCTGCTTTGCCGGCACTTTGTAGGGCACAGTCACTTAACTACACTCCAACCACCGGAGCACTCCATGCTCAAGGATGGTGAGGGATACAATTCCAACAAGACTGGGTAATGAGGAACCAGGGACCATGATTTTGATGCTGAAGTGCTCTTGTCCAGTTGGACAAGAGCCCTTGTCCAGTTGGACAAGAGTAAACTACAAACTTTGAAGTAAATTTTATCTGTAAACTGTATATATAATGTTCACAGCTGCAATGCAGAGTTTGACAATTGTGTTGCAAAGATCAAGTTTTTTATGGCTGAAGTGTTGCCAGTGAATTGTTGTTTATTGAGAATTTGTCTCCAAAATGACCTTGACCATCAAGATTTCTTGCCAAAATAGAAGCAAAGAGGTATTTGTAGAGAAATTGGTTTACAAGATCTTCTGTTTCTTCTATTTTGATGACATTTTATATCAGTGTATTTGTGCACATGTATATCAGTATATTGTTACTGTCATAAAGGGTAATAAGGGACAGTCCTCTGACATTTCATAGAAACTAATAATTTAGCTAATTGAAATATTGCAAAACGAAAAATAGTGGCATAAAGTTCAACATTTTTCCTATCTATGTAGCATAAAGCAAGTTAAGAAATCATACATTTGCTACCTACCTCTGAAAAAAGTGTGAAAAGTTAGATTTTGGAAAAGTACCTCTACTGAGGTCTGTAGCAAATAGAATATTCACCATTTTAAAAAATTTTACTTGCATAAAAGTTACACACAGGTGTTGGCGTAAAAAATATGATTAATGGAATTTGCATAGCTCAATTTGAAAGAAATGGTGGCCATTTCCATGATGGGCTAATAAGGGATACCCCCCCCCCTGGTGTAATAAGGGACACCCCCCTGGGGAAATAAGGGACACCCCTAAAAACTCATTTACAGTAGAGCCTTGGTTAGCGAAGCCTCCAGTTAACTGAATTATCAATTAAAAACAAATAATTTTGATTACATTTACCTTGCTCACTGAAAAAAATTTCACTTAACAAAAATTAATGCTTCATTGGTCATCACAAAATCATACATAGAATTTCATAGATAGAATTGTGCACTGGCCAACATAGAATGAAAAGTAATTAACCTAAACTAAAATTTATTTCCCCCCAAAAATTTGATGGTTGTCACTAAAATATCCCTTTCTGTTTCATGTATGTTTTTTATGATATTCTTTTGTTATAGTGAATTCACTTGACCCAATTAAAATGATGTAAAATTACAAGCCATCCTGTAAGCATACAGATACAGTTGAAATGCTACATGGCTGCTGATATGAAGCTTGCAGTGGACAAGGTCCTCATCAATGCTCAATGGCATGTCCATGGATATGGTAATATCATATCAATAATACTTTAGGTTCTATTCTATGGATTTAATAATAAATTATTGAAGGAAAAACAAGTAAAAATCACAGAAATATCATTTATTCCACATTTACATCATCTACAAAGGAAGAGGAGGCCTTCAGACTACTGCTAATAATGGAAGATGACACTCAGCATGCTTCATAGGTTTTACAATTGAGTTTTATTTCAAGTGTCCCTTATTACCTGTTCCCAGGGGTAATTTGGGCTGCTTTGCTTTTGCATCTGGCATCTTATGAATAGCATATGGAATATTTTTGGAGATGCCATAAGATAGCCCTTGCAAAGATCTTTAAAATAAGCTCAAACTCGTTTATGAAATGTTTCATGGTAAGAATTTATAATTAAAAAATACTCAAAATCATCCCTTATTACCCCATTTGATGGTAGTTCTTAAAAAAAACATTTATGCCAGTTGTTTTGTAGGTATCTGCACTGGAAAAAATTGGATGATAATGACAGGTTTGCAAAAGATTTTTTATTTGTATGATAAAAATCAATGACTGGATTATCCAAACTGTTGGCTGTATTATTTTTATTTTAGAATATTGTCTTTGCTTAGCTTTGTAAGTTCTTGATGCTTCATGGGTAAGATGTGTTTCATGTGTATTACTAAATTGTGATCTTATGTTCTGAACATCTAAGAAATATGCAAAGGATAAAGAATTGTTTAAGGCAGTTGTTTCCAAACTTTTGCAGGCTGGCAAGTGGCAACCCCTAGTTTTCCCAATGAATTACTCCACCCTTCTCCCCCCCACGAACAGAAATAAACTTGGTTCATTTGGTACTTATTTGATACTTGAATGATACTCTCATTAAACATGAGACTGATGAGAGCATCATTCTTCTTCCTTTGGTGTGTGTAATTTTGTATCAGGTGTGATTAACTCTTCCATATGGAAAACAATATTTTCTTATGTATTCTATTTAGAGTACCGTAGTGATTGATGAAAAAACCCAGATTTCGAATATTTTAACAAATTTACACTAGAAAGACAGAAGACATTAAAAAACTCAGATCTGGGTGGAAAAACCCATGGCTGGAAGCAGTGTGCAGCATGTGTTGTGTACAAATTATCAAACAAACGTTTGAACCTCTGAGTTCAACTTCAGACTGCCACTCCCACTGATTTAAGGTTTTAAGTTATATTTTCATTTGAAACACTTGACATTAGTTCTTCAAGTTGTTAATAAAAAGTAATAGCCTTTTCTCATCTAAATAAGTACTTTGATGTCATAAAATCTGCAGAAAAGACTTGCAAAGGTGGTAAAACAATATAAAAAAATAGACATTTTTCATTTGTTAAACCAATCAATCCTGTCTTTTTCAGATATTTTAGTTTTTTTAATACCTATTGTACCTAGCAATAGATTGCCTTCTATATATTTGTTATTGGGTAAATTATAAATTAAAATGGTTGTGCCTAAAGCAAAATCTAGATAGGTCAGCCAAAGCAATCGTGACTATTCACATGAAGCTTTTAATGTTGGGTGATTGCAATAACATAGGAAGTACTTCTGCCTCAAAGCACTTGCAGCCAAAAATACAAGTTATGAATAATTCTACAGACAATATATCTCTCTTGGCTGGGAGACCCATTGAAACTTTTGTTTTCCTAGACCTGGAAACTTCCGGTTTAGGGTCTACACGCAATCGAATCACAGAGCTGGCTATGTTAGCTGTCTCAAGAAGTGACATTGAAAAAATGGAGAAAGAAACCTCAAACAAGAGAAAGAGACAAATGATGGAACATCATGATGCAAATCTAACTGAAAAAAATATGCTGACAGATAATATCAGATCAGTCAGGAAGAGACTCTTCAATGATCATAGTGAAGAGAAGGTTGATGGAACTTACCATCCATTTCATGTTGACACACGTCTTAAAACTTTGAGGCCAGGGCATATGACCCAAAAGACAGAGGAACATCCAAAAGAAAATGGTACTGTAAATGAAGTCAGTCACATTGAAGCAGATGCTCCTGCTGTTACATCTTTGAAAACTCAAAATCAGGCTACACAAACCGTCAGGTTTTCTACTTCTCACTATCACCCGGTGCCCAAACTTCCACGTATAGTACAGAAACTAAGCAAAATCTTCAACCCTAAGGTGCTAATATTTCCTGAAACAGAAGAAATTTCAGGACTTAATAATATTATGCTTGAGAAATCAGCTCAAATGAACTCAGATTTTTGTGAGGTATTCCTCAAGTTCCTAGATTTTCCTAAACCTATCTGCATTGTTGGTCACAATTCTTTGAAATTTGACTTTCCAATTGTCATGTCAGAATTTTTGTCAGTAACCAACTGCCAGTTCAGGTGTCCAGATATTTTCTGTACTGATTCTTTGATAATATTCAAAGCATTGGATAAAATTCAGGTGCTAGAAGAAATAAATGCCTGTTCTGAGGACATAGCTCGTCACCTGGATTGGTTTTTGGATGATGAGGTTTTTCAGCAAATCAGTCTAGAAAATAACAAGGAAAATGTTACCAGCATTGATTCCAATGGTGAACCAAATGTGCCATGTGCAATACAGATTAATGATGAGACGGAACAAATGAGTGCAATACCATGCACTCCTGTGAAGAATTCAAACATTTCTTTCAACAGCTCACTGGCACCTGATACTCCTGTCACTCCTTCTCACAAAGACCCTCAAGAAAACACAACCTCTGGTTTTTCTCTTGGGTCCATCTTCGCATCACCTCCTGCAACCCCTCGCCATAATGTTGAAAGTGCCTCAAAACCAATTATGGTATCTCCTCCAACCATGACTAAAGGAAGAAGTTTCTCTGACCAAACCAATGACCCATCCCTCTTGACATTTCCTCCAAATTGTTCCTTTAAGTCAAAGGTTTTACTTGCTAAGAATGACCCTGCTTACAACCTAGGATTCAAACCTTCTCAGCGGCCATTCTCTCAGCCAGTGTTGTACCAGCGCCTCTTTGGCTGCAGGTATGAAGCACATCGAGCTGAGAGTGACTGTGAAGCGTTACTCAAGATTGCTGGACACTATGGAACAAAATTTACACTGGCTGCTGATGTGCTAAAAATTGATTTTAATTCTGTGAAGCCAGCTTGGCGCACAAATAAAATGATACAATCTGAGCATTTCCAACAGGCATAGTGCTGAGTTTTTGCACAAATTCCTTTATGCATTTTCTTTCTTTGTTATTGGTGAAGTTCTTAGAAAATTATCATTAACTGTTTTAATTTTAGATAAAAAATATGTCTGGAATGTGAAATTGAATTTTCATTGATGTTTAAATTGAAGGCTTTCATTAATAAATAGTCTTCAATTCTTCAATGACTGAATGCAGACTGAATGTTAATTAACAGCAATTGAATTTTTCTGTTAATTTTATAATAATGTTTTTATCTTGTGTATGTCTGCCTGTGCTTCTTGTTGTATTTTTACTACTGTATTGTATTATTAATTATAATATTAATTGTATGAATATAATTAATTTATACAAAATTGCACAATTATAAAAAGTTAATTTCATCAGAGTGAAATTTAATTGAAAATAATCACACTTGTATTTATGCTTGAGTCGAGAACTGAATCAGTATTCCCAATAAGCATTTTTGTATAGGGTGCCTTACTTTAGTTTTGTTTCTGTGTCCTGTTATGCATTTCATTTAAGATGTAGCCTAGGTATACCGGTACTTATTATTTTGCATGTCTGTGAATTGCTTTATTTTGCTTTTTTATGGCATGAGTCTTGCTTAAAATATTACTTGCACTGTGAAATGTCCTGCTTTAATTTACATTGTTGCTCAAATATTGGTGCTCCTAAGAGCCTATGAGGCTATTTTCATGTTACTTACAGTGATACTTTCACTTCAGAACCTGGAGAGTACATAAATTAAGCCAATTGATGATAAATTGCTACCTGTTGAAAATGTACTTTTTCTCATATTAAATTTATACATATTTTAATTGTCAAGTTTGCTTCTGAGTATTTGTGTTCTTTATCTTGCCATTTATGTGCAGACCAATTGGCATATAGGTACTGTACTGAGTGAAGTCACCTAAAGTATTAAGATATCTTTTTTTTATTGACATAGGCTGCCATTACTTGTCACCAATTTTGTATACTATTTATTTACAAAGAATAGTTGCAGCTGAAACGGTATAGCATACCGGTAGTGTTCATGGAGAGCAATGTAATAATTTATAAGTATGTATAGGTACTTGTTGGGCATACTATTGACAATTAAATTAATCAAGTTCACAATTGAACATTTATACGGTTTTAACTAGCAAATTATCGATATTACTACCTTGAACAATAATTAATGTTTAAGCATTAATAGGAAACTTCAAAATTCATTTTGTGTGATTCAGATCTACCCTCATCTGAAGTTTTTATTGAGCCCAACACCTTATGCGACAAGACCTTTTCTATAACTGTTCGAGTTAATTCTCGACAGTTTGGCCCATCATTGTGCTTGAAGAAAAACTTGTGCCTTAAGAGATTGTCATCGTAAGTACGCAAAGTTTGTCTCTTTTAGCATGTTGAATATTTCTCCTTCTGTGAAAGATTAAATTTGACATTTTATAAAAGATTTTTATTATAGGAGGATCAGCTATGCACTCTCCATTTAAAAATATTTTTATAAATTCCAAAGCACATGAAAGTGCCCATATTGTCCTGGTACTATTGAGTTAATTGAATATACGTAGTCTTTTTAGTCAACCTAGGGTTAAATGCCATAAATGCAACCCGTCGTTTTAATCAGGATTTTTAGTTCCGACATTTCATAAATATTCATTCACTATTAAAATGTAAGTAAGTACAATATTTAGATATTAATGCATTTACTGTACGTCAAGTTTTTATATGATCCTTTGTTATGTATTAATGTGGGGGACGAAACTTTTTGCAGTAAAATTTTATTGTCATTAATTGTTTTACAAATGATCCTTCACAGAGCAGATAATAATAGCAGTGCATCATGATAACATATTTGCCTGAAGCTACTTAATGAATGTTCGATGCTCTCATGACGTAACGTTACAGTATCTCGAATATCTAGAAAATTATTCTTGACTCGGCTTCAAAGTTGATAAAGTTCTGAAGCGACAAGCTTCCATATGACTACACAATCTTAGTTATATTAAAAGTTGGAAGTCACATAAATAATCGTATTTTTCTGTAATAGAATGGTAGTTAATGTCGAGCGCTGGTCTACACGATCTTGTCTTAATGACTGGCACGTTCAGATCGATGTATGTACTAATAAAGATAACATATAACAAACTTAATAATATAGTACAGCAATATCACACAGTTGAGGCAAGCATTATTCTGTCCTCGGCACTGAAGGTTTGCTCTGCCAGTTAATATGTTCAAGCACAGCAAACATGAATCACTGCATTAATATCACAGGAACGAATATCAATTTAAAATACCCGGCATCAAGTTAACATCTTGGCCAGACTTCGTCGCTCTTTAATGTAACGTGCTGACCAGTCGTAGAGAAGGCTGCGACTTCTTCGAACGTGCAACAAATCTGTATAGCTATCATAAAAGTTTGTTCACTAGTAAAACATCACCAGTGATGTCACATGATAAACCTGAAGTAGAAGGGAATATACATCCTAAACACGAAATTTTAGAAGGATCGAGTACTAATGATGTCGTAGACTTGAGTGGTCATGGAAATAAAGTTGATACTTAATAGCAATTTTGTCGCATAAACTTTCTAATGTAAATTCTTCAGCAATACTTTCATACTATTTACAGAATTAATGCACACTTCTATTTACAAATGCTACAGTTAATGACTTCAACATTTATTCCAAGTAATTGGCACGGTACGGATTCATCAGTATTTGCAATCGTAAAGTCAAATAATTAGTGATTAGACAAGAATTGACATTAACCCTTAGTAAATTACCACACTTAAAATGCCCACATCAAACGGCCGTCTAACGCTCGCGAACCTGGAAGACTTACGTCTACAAAGGTGCATTTCAAGCGGTTCTGATTTGCCTAAAATAAGATCTGTGTTATTAGAGAGCTGTGGCAACGGCGTGAACGATAGGCTCCTTCTTCTGATACTTGGCTCTAAGTTTGGATAAAGAAGAGCCTCCCGAAGAGTTACGGCTCAGGGTGGAGTGAGTATAAGTAAGAGGACGATTGGCGAGACGCCTTTCCAGTGAAGCGAAGGGCCGCGTCTCGTCTTCCCTCCAGCGTCGCCAGTTGTGATGCTCGATGGGGTCCTGAGGGCCCCACTCGCCCCACTCTCGCGACGACTGCAGGGCTGACACAAGCTTGTCTTTGATGCCGTATGCGAGCTGCGAGTTGATTACTCTGATGGCCACGACAGGAATGGGCAGGAGCAGCAGCGCCCTCAATGTCCAGATGAGCGCCATCTGCCACCACAACACCAGCACAGCCTCGTCATTACTACCTTGGGCTTGCGACGCAATGTCGTGTACGCGATACACATAACCAAATCTCCACCAGTCTACGCATTGCCACACAAACAATCCCACGAGTGAGAGAGGAATGACGAATGCCCACCACGCTGCCCACACTACAGACATATCTTTTTCAAGCATGAAAATAAAATCTTTCCGTATCTTGCCCATGCCATGTGCGGCAGCGATGGCAAGGGTCATGAGAATTGCTGGCCACACGAGGGCGGGCGTTAAGACTCCCAAGTCAAGTAACGAGAGGAGCTGATGACCTCCCTGAGCCACTAGCGGAGCCACCCCCAGCAGCGTGACGAGGAGCATCACACCTGCGCCCACAAGTGCGGTCATTTGGCTGCTCTCGCGGCCGGCGACCGCCGCAACGCATAGCGTGGCACACACGGAGCTCAGGCCACAGCACAGAATGCCGCACAAGATAATTGCAGCCAAAACTGGCCTAAGCCACTCCAGAGACTCGTGATCATACATCAGGGAATGAGACATTAGAAGAAACACTCCGCCAACTGAGACTTCTTGGTGGGCACACAGGCCGAGGCCAGAGGCGCCGTGTTTGATGCTGTTTAAGATGCAGTGGTCGATCGTCGGCGTCGACGGAATGTGAGAAGCTGGCGTAGAGGCCTGCAGGGCTGACTCAGATGAAGCATACAAGCAAGTTGTGGAGAGCGGTGAAGCTTCCGTAATCATTTCTGCCGTTCCAATAAAATTAGATTCCGATGTTCCATCGTTATTATACAGCGCGTTATGATTTAATTCTCTCGAGGTAAGCAAGTCAGAGGAGCTGACTGCTGCAATTCCGCTTGTTTCTGACTGTATAGACGAGCGGGGAAGAACGGAGAGCATTGACGCAGAAGAAGTAGTTGTCATTTCAAGGTCAACATTAACAGGAGAATAATTTGCAGAAGTGATAATAGGCTCGGTTACTTCTGCCTCACCTCCGAGGAATTTTAAAGATTCAGTTTCTTCTGGTACTCCTGTTGTTACAAACTCGCTCTCCAGAGGATTGTATGTCGGGTTAAGAGGAACTTTAAATAAACTAATCGCCGCACTGGAATGCGGTAGTCCTCCATATAACTGGTGTGGGGCAGAGGGGGCGGTGCGGGAAGAGTGGGAGGAGGGGGCAGTGATGGGAGACTGGGAGGAGGGAGCAGTTTGAGCGGCACGTCGTGCGTAAATTACTGTGGAGTGGGAGCCGGGATCCTCGGCGCGGATGAGGCTCATCTGCAGCAGCGTGACGACAGCAACGAGGAGCGTCACGAGCACGCTCAGCGCGGTCAACACGCTAATATGTCTGCAATAAGAGTACGAACTATAGGAAGGGATCCCAGCAAGAAAAGTCGTCGAAACCAAAATAAAACACTGAATCATTAATTGGCATGACAAACGAGAGAAATTTCAAATAAAGGGTCAATTTTGCATTGAATAAAATTAAAGAGCAAACTATAGCTCACCTCTTGAGTCTGAACCTAAAGTGGAAGTGCGAAGCGTGGTTGAGAAGAAGTGCCGTCCCAGGACCAAGCATGAGCAGAGATTGTCCCATGCACGCCAGCCAGATCTGCAGGGTGTTATACCTCATCAGTTCCTAGTAGTCTTTCACCCCTTTCATTCGCAGTACATCTTTCCTGTTTTATTGCAGACATCATTGCAATTGCAGACATCTTTCCTATTTCATTCTCATCAAATTTTGACAAACCGAACCAGGTCCTGTAGATAATCTTGGGCTAAGTAAGTGCCGGGTTCAATGGATTACCTGGGGCGATGATACGATGTCGACGTTGGGTGTGACAAGCGGCGTGACGAGGCGTAAGAAGGACACCTCCCGCGGCAGCTTCAGCAGCTGCCACCCCACCAGGCAGCCCTGGGTAACCTCACCTGCGGCACGAAGACGTCAGAATTTCTTTTGAATGCAGAACATATGACGACATCCATCCAAATTGACACGTGATCGTGAGATCGAACATTAGGAATTTAACGCAAGCGGTGCGAGTATATAATATATGTCACGGATGCATGCATTTACTAGTGTCAAAAACAACACGGAATGAAACCATTCAAGATTGCAAAAAGAAAGAAACCTACTCATTAATACAGTTTTCTGTCAATGGACTCGTGGCACGATATGAACGACGAGCATATACATTTGTAAAATTAGGCAGGTGTTTTTTAAATAAAAAATGAAACCTTGTACAATTGTAATTGGATAAGAATTGTTCTACAGAATTCTAATTATAATTTCACCGACGAGTAGATAAAAAAATAGCATGAACATATGGAAGACCTGTGAGCGCGACGGCGAGGGCGACACCAGAGACGGAGGCCTGCAGAGCCACGCCACCCACAGACCTGCACCGCAACGACGGCTTTAGCACAGCAGAGTGCCATACAACATTTATTTATATACAAAAATATTATACGAGAATATCACAAGGCAGCATACAATAATAATTTATATCAATATAGAAGCATGGGTAAGCGAAAGAATGTTTACAATGTCTGCAAGTTTAATACAGGTTACGACACATCTTTAATTGAACTCAGCGACGTCTATTTAATAATAAAACCTTCAAGAAACTGTAGGCAATTATTTTTGCTACGTACCCGAGGAAGGCGCAGAAGCAGACGGCCAGGACCCCAGCAGGCAGCGGCCAGTTGAAGCCTACGCCTCCTACAGCAGAGGTACCGTACACGCAGCTCCTGTGGTGACCAACAGCGTATAAACAACATCGCGTTTTACCTCCGGGTGAGGCTTGTTAAAATTCTAAATACTATAGACTTATTTAAAGAAAATTATTTGTTAATCGTAAAAATAATTGGTATCTTCCAGCACGGAAAGAATAATTATTCGCTATGCGGTGGAAATCTAGTGTGTAACACTGCGGCCACGAAAAGTTAAATTTTACTATCGTTTCCACGTGCATCCAGGAGAGTAAATGATTCCCTGAATAATAAGTTAGAGTAAACTTATTTCCGCCTGGCGTCGATGAAACGAGGTGCAGATCTACAGCATCGATTTATCCATTATATGGCGATTATATAATTATCAGCTCAGCAGTTCAGTTGATATGAACGCATAAATGATCCTGAGATTCAAAGGTGATACACATGTTGATATGTTGATATTGCTAACTTATGAATTGTTAATGCGGTATAAAAAATCTACAACACTATCGACCCCAAAGCAATCAATATTAGTGGTAATCGCTTACTAAGCATAGGTTTTGCTTCGTTCTTTTACATCAGTTTAGCTTTGTTTTTAAATAAGTACAGGAGTTCCCTAAACAAGGATGATGTCGTACCTGTAATAGTGGAGCGCAGCATCGGCGCTGTCAACGGCGGCCCAGCTGCAGTTGCCGACCTCCACGCTCTGTGGCACGGGAGCAAAATTATGATCTATTAAAATGAGTCAAAAACACATAAATATTGTCAATGACAAACGTCAATTTACTTAATTTTGTGTCACAGACTAATGAATTAAAATCGTATTAATTTCAGCAAATCTTTCAATTGGGCAAGCGAATAAGGGATTGTACTCGGGAATGCATCCAGTCGCCTCCTGAAGGTCTTCAGGGTGAAATCTTCTTTTTTCGGCTTTATCGGCAAAGCGATAACAACCTCGGACCCGCCACGTAAAGGAACCTTACGTAAAAGAACCTGCAGATATTAGCCGCAGCTCTGTTATTAACTGATGTGAGTATTCTGCTCAGTCTCCCCTTCTCTCACTGTGATTTGCCATAATTCTAATGATCACACCTTCTACGGTAGCGGCCAGTCCAGGTATCATTTTCTATGTTTTCAGTGTGATCAGAATGATAAATCTCTCCTTTCTCTTCTGTACTGTGCACAGCTATATCGTTGTTCTGCCAGTAGTTCAGCGCTCCCATCCCCTCAGATCCTAGACAAGAGGGTTGTTTAGCTGGATCGCTTCAAGTGGCTGCACTGCGTACATGAACGGGGTCCAAAGCTAGCAGCATTATTCAAGAATAGGGATCACTAGGGCTCTGAAGAATTTGATAAAGGGTTTCGCTCTTTTTCTAAATGTCCGAAAGATCCTCCCTATCTTAGTACTTATATTCACTCCTAGGTCGCTAACGAGTTGCTTCTCGATTTCTGTGCTGTCCTGTGACAGGGAGCGATGTTACATCCCCACTTCTGTACCAGTTCCGTATCTCAGAACCCCAAACTTGGTCCCGTTTAATTGCTGGCTTTTCACTTGGGCCCAGTAATACAATGCAGACAGGTCTTCTTGCAAACTCTCGCAATCCGCCATGTCCGCAATCGTTACTAGCATCCTTTTGTCGTCCGCGTGGACGACAAAAGGATGCTAGAAAGAAGTGGGGCTCATTTCCTCGTCTGTATCAGCAATGTGAATGAGGAAAAGGATCGGACCATGAACCGTTCTCTACAAGCACTCTGCTTCTCACTCTTGCCTCGATTGATCTCGTGTCATCAACAGGAAGTTGAAGTTAGGTCCGTTAGGAAGTTGTGGATCTACGTCAGCAATTCTCCTCAGACCCCCCAGTAGTGTTATTTTTCTAAAGATCACTCCATGGTCAACTTTATTAATAATGACTTTATCAAATTTAATGTTCAAAGAAACATCATCCGTGCCGGCTTTCTTCCAATTTAGTAACTGCGACAAACAAAAGCCGGAAACCGTGTTGTCTTCTGTTGAAAAGGTCAGCTTCCTACGTGTACTGCTCAATATCCTGGCTACGGCCTTTTCAAACACCTTGATTACATGTGATGTTACTGTTGCTGGCCCGTAATTTTGTCGTATGTCTCTTGCACCCAAGGCACTCGTGTCAGTGGTACACGGATCAGCGGCACACGTACCAGTAGTACACGGAACAGTAACAAGTGGGCAAGTGTCCAGGATGACAGTACCTGGATGGCAGCAGGGGGTGCGGTGGTGACCAGGAAGTAGTGAAGCCACGGCGCCGTGAGTCCCGCAGCGTAGACGCCCCACAGCGCGCACAGCAGCACCAGACTCCAGCCGATACCTGTGGCATGTGGCACGTTGTCGGCATGTGGCATGTCGCTCATTGTTGGCATGTGGCATGCCGCTCGTTATCGGCATGTGGCATGTGCCTCGTTATCAATTTCTTCCAAGAAATCATCGATATAATGTCAGCAAATAACTGAACAGTTGTTTAATCTTAATAGAAATCGAATGCACAAAGTGATGTAGTCAGATAGGACATTTGTTATTCTAAAACAATCCAGTGATAATCGTGAGAATGCGCGATAACATAGAACTTATTAACCCTACAACTCTTAAGAGTCAATACAATCAACTTTAAACGCTGAAATGTTACCTGTAGTGAAGTTTAATTTGATCGATACTAAGTGAGAAATCTCCATCTAGCCATAAAATTGAAAAATACCCTCAGTAATATACACGAATTTTAGAAAAATTATCGCACTCTTTCTTTTAATACGGTCAGCTCACTCAATGGTACATCTTATTGTGTTCGTCTACATTTTAAATTTCGAAATTAATTTGTCGTTCAGCATCATTTTAAGTAACATCAACATAGTAAGGAGTGATGCACTTGTTGTCTCGGAATAAAATGCAAAACCTTAACAAATTACTGCCAAGCCTATCATTAAAACTCTACAAGAACCACAACTTCAATAGAAATTTGTTTACATAGGGTATTGCTTATGAGTGAATAACAGGTAGAGGTACAATTTAATGTCCCGGGACAAATTTGGTCCCACAACAATAGTCTAATTATAACATAATAGTAACCTCTGGCGAGCGGCAGGAGCCTCCAAACGGCGAGGACGCTGCAGGAGCTGAACTGCGCAAGGCCCGCCTCGAGGAGCGCTAGGGGCGCCGCCACCAGCAGCAGACACGCCACCAGCACCGGCACCAGGGAACCTGCGGCACACAGCACGGGTCAGAGTCTGCAGTCATGAGTCTCATATGTTGCTTATGCCTCCCATGTTCTTACATGCCTGCAACGTCACCGATGCCTGCACCCATGTCCTCTATACCTGCACCTACGTCACCCATGTCCTCTATACCTGCACCCATGTCCTCTATACCTGCACCTACGTCACCCATGTCCTCTATACCTGCACCTATGTTACCCATTCCTACACCTATGCCGCTTAAGATTCCAAGCAAAGACATCGCAGGATTGCTGTACAACATGAATACAGTAAAACTGAAGGGAGAAATCGCTTGATGATTATACTGATGAAGATTCTCAATAATAGGTTCATTAAGCAGATATTACAATCGCCAAACATTTGCAGGATTGAAATGAAATCTCAATTTGGTTAACTGAAAAAATATCTGAGAAGTCACAAATGCCCCTTCTCCAAAATTAAAAAATTAACTTGAAAGTAATTAAAAAATGGCATCGCCAAATATTGGATTGACGATACATTTTTTACCTCCAGTGTAATAAATAAGCAAAATATTAAGGCTCAAAAAACACGAAATGAATCAAAGCTAAAGAGTACTCAAGCCCCATAGGAAACATAGCAAAGTATACATTGACATTATCTTTTTAAAATGTTTTTTGCCAGCACAAACATGTGGTAATCGAGCTCTTGACATCAAGTCATAGAAAAGATCTACAGCATTCCGTGTGTGTTCAACGCATTTAAGTGTGCATTGATCATTCAAGATTATGCCGTCACAGCCACATACATAAAACATTTTTCTCATGAAGCGTTCATATTCTGATATTGATATACCATCCTTAATTTCGAAGGTTAAAAATATGAATATTTTAACTTATAGTTATATCAATATATTTTTCACCTCGAATGTTAACTCCAACCAAATCGATTTAACAAATTCCAATAATGTTAATTATTGAATAAATGAAAAGCAATAGCTGAGATAGAGAAGACCATAGTTGAGTTATATAAGGTTGACCCACGAGGATTTCCGTCTTTCAGTTCAGCTTACTTGTTACGTCACGTAGATCAAGAAACGTAAACAAACTCGTCATTCTCATGACGGATTGGTTGACTGGTTTGATCGCATTTAGGTGATTGGTTAATGCCCATGACGTCACTGAGATCACTGACGTCACAGCCTCACAGGCGAACAACGAACTACATCCGCACGAATGAGCTTCTCATGGGTCAACCTTATACTAGTTCAACCATGGACGAGACCTACCCGCTGGCATCAATTTGCCCCACATCAATTCCCATAGAAATTGAGAAAGCACCTCCTCTCAGCCCAAACATCTCAACAGCATTTTGAATCGAATTTGGGATTACCCCACCAGCAGCTAGTGGTTAAACCATAGATAAGACTACGAGTTCAAATCACCTGCGCCGTAGACGATGATGAGTCCCGGCAGCCTGAGCATCGCCGCGGCGCTGGCGACGAGGGCCGCGCCGCTCACCAGACACGCCACACCGCGCCACGTCACGCGCTTGCCACTCTGCACGTCAGTGGCTAGAATACAACGTCATGTTCCAGCCACTGCGTGGCACAGATTCACAGTAACAGTGATAACAACTCCATGATATATGCACAAACTGCGTACATGATGGAGTGCTCTAAAACACGTGCTCCGGGCAGAATGTACTCATATTAAATGATAGATAATCAATTGGTAACGCTTAACTTTGATAGCTAGAGCTACCGAGCGCGTGTACCGTCTGTTTGGAAGAAGTGACACATAAATACTTATATCTCATTAATTAAGGGAATAAGATAACCATGTTGGAATTATGAAACAGTCTAAATTAAATGTGAAATAATTGCATTTTGGAAAATTCTGGAGTAAATAATGTAGTTCGCTACTTTTATATCGTTGAAAGTAACGATTGAGGTAAGTAATCGTTCATTTTGTCACGATTTAAACCGAATCGTACGAACTAATAAGATTAATACCAGTCCATGAAGAAAATATAACATTTAAAAAGAAGATCTGATGACTGATGGCATTGAAATCAAGAAAGAAGCCTTTCATCGAAACGATTTCACTTGCAAATCTTTAGCGCTGCAGCTAGGGGCGTAACATTTTATTGGAAATACAATAAATGATAAGAAGTTATACACTTTTGTACCGCAAGCATATAAAATGTAAATGAATTTAGGTTCAGCATCGACTTGGTGGTGCTGCGCAAGAACTTTGCGATGAATGTCCATCCTTGAAATTAGTAAAGACCAACCTTGAATTTTACGGATGGCACGAGGGTGGAGGTGGACCGTCTCCAGTCCTCGCAAGCGTCCTCCTGAAGGTGGGCTGTACTGTACACGTCTTGCCACGACTGTGAGAAATTAATTGCTTTATTCATTATCCTAACATATTCAAATTGATCATAAGTTAACCACAAGAATTTCAATTACGCATATAGGGGCACGCTGGTGTGACGCCATGACAGTTGATGCAGGAGACTTGTTAAGGTATAACCGTGATCATATGAACAACAGCGTGGAGTATGCTATCAACCCACAATAAACGATGCAATAAACTTTTAACAACATAGTCAAAAGACTTGACTTGACATGAGTGTATTGCAAAGGTAACTGATCTTCATTCAAGGTTTACAGCCATACATAATGTTTACATAATGAGATACAGCATTTCATTGGGATTGTGGTCAAGCGCAAGTGCGAGAGGTTTAGCAGATTTAGTATACCTCATTGGTCAGTCATCGAACAATAATTAAGTTCTTTAGAAATTAAATTATTTTATACAAAAAATTTCAAAGCAACTGAAATATTGGATCGTTGCCGCGGTAATCCAATACAATGAACGAGGACAAACCAGCAGAGAAAGTATGGGCAATTAAGAAGGCTGTAGGAAGAAGGTAAACTGCTTCGCTATTAGAAGAATTACAAGCCATTGCCCCAGCAATAAGCCATTGTGTGGCAATAGAGCGCGGAAGCAATACTTCAATTGAGACCGGGAACTTGCCGAGTTTCCTGGACGAGGAATTTAATAATGAGTTTTCATGTTTCCGGGCAGAATTTCCAATAGATGAGGCAAAGTACTTATTTTACAATAACAACTTTATGAAAAGTTATAGGGACGATTTGTTCTTGTGCCAGAGAGCAACACGAAAGTGAAAAGGACTTACCATATTAGCCTCTATAGTTCAGCCACCAATAATATTGAGGAACAAGGTTGCTATCTCTCGTAACAATTAAGTGAAAATGATATAGCCCATCGCAACTATAGACGATATCCCTCCGCGGTGTTGGAAGAAATGAAAGGTGACAGGGATGAGGAGAATACCGCAGTAAGTTCAACTACTCAGAAAGGAAACATCTCGTCATTTAATATAGTCTTTCAATTTTGAAAATAATTAACACATAAAAACTGCTACGCAGGTTAACCTAAGACATACATAATATAACTATCGGTTTATCCTGTTATGTGAAAACAACTTTTGCAAAATAATAAAGCACTCCTCGAAGAATTAATCTGTTTGAGAAGAAAGCGGTGTAATTTTCAAATATCGCACAATTTCCATAAGGTATCAAAAGTAACAGAGAATAAGAAGTTATAAAAATAAGAATGCGACAATATGTGTCACTAAGCCTAATATGCGACTAATATGTCGCATGCGACTAATATGTGTCTACCTATGTACCTATGATACGAGCAGCATCCCAAGTGACAACTTTGAAGTAACAAGGAAGATCTCACTGAAGCGGGACCAAGACAAGTTATTCCAGTCGTGAGGAAGCAACTGAGCGGCCGATGTGTGAAGTCACACCTTTTTACGATCACTCACAATGACGTCAGTCAGTAATTTGAAACGTCAACCTCTGCTAGAATTGCGATATATAAGACAGTAAAAAATCAGGGATACTATAAAACCAATCCAAAAAAAAATATTATTAATAATAACATTCATTACACGGGATCACAAATGCATCTCCTGACGGCAGCAATTTCAAATTATCTACGTCATATTCCACATATTATTGGACGGCGACATAAGTAAATGCGGCGGGGAAGGTAATTTTTCTCATTGCATGAGTTCATCCAGCGCCTGCTTGGCTTGGCACTCTCGAGCTCCAAGTTTTACTTAAGCCCTCGTCCATTTTTTACCTCAAAACAAAAACTGAAATAAGGTAAATTCAGCGCTAAATAAATTATCAACAAATGACAAACACACATGATGAATTTGCAGCTCATTGGTAATAAACCGTTGAGCGGCGAAGTAACTGTAGCAATGACAGCTTTATTATTATGGCATCTTACTGCTAATTATTAGAATAATTTCATAGCGAATTAAAACGATGAAAGGTATAAAAATATTCCAACTTTCAGAAAACTCTCCTCTCAGAATTTGTAGGCATGATATGTCTCAAACCCTTAATAACAGAATTCTGTATGCAAAAAAAATGTTTGAAACATGTCATAATAAGTCGGCAATTCCACCTTACGTTCACTGAAAGATCAAAATACACCACACAACTGCGTAAGATTCTTCTAGGAGACGGGATTTTTACATGAAAATCTTAATTATGCTGCCTGCCCTCAATGTAGGGGGATTTCCAAGACAACCCGGCAAATTTTCCTAACCAGAAGAGGCGAGATCACCCCAGGACTACTAGGATGAAGCAAGGAAACTCTAGCGTCGAAGTCATACCTTGATGGCTCCGTTGGTGCTGCTGTGCGGGCTGCTGTCACTGCTGGTAAACGCTGTCGAATTGTAGCTCAATTTTTTCGAGCTGTTTGTCATGATGGGATTAGTGACGCTTTTGTCATGGTAGGAGTTAGGCAAGGGCACAACGCGGTCAAGTCTCGCTTTGGACTTGAGTGTATCCACGTCATTAGTTGTATCAATGCAAGTCACTGAATTTATTTTAGGTGCCGTAGAATCGCCTGTTATTCTCACGATGTGTGAAGCTCTGCTGAGTGAGAACTGGTCATCATTGGGAGGGCTAGCCGCCTTCGGCACAGCCTGATGCGACGGAGTGCTGTAAGTAACTTGCTGCTCGCCCAGCACGATGGTTACAGATTTGTTCTTCTCGTGGATGATCGTTGAGGTATCGTGAGAGGCCGGCATGAGGGTGATACCGTTGCTGGGGCTGTGCATGGCAGGGTGGGAATGCCGCGAAGTGAAAGAACCCGAATCCACTGGAGACGAGTAGGGATTATGGGACCGACGAGACGGAGTGGATTTATTTGTGAGAGGAGATGCGTGCAGGACTTTAGGGTACGACGACTGCTGGTGCTTCGCGGTGGGGCTTTGCGTGGGGCTGCCTAGTGAAGAAAGGGAGGATCTGGCATCACAGCACTTGGTTGGGGAGTCGTGACGGAGGGCGGGGAAGTGAGTTGTGCGAACAGAGTCTCCTCCATTAAGCAAACCGCCATTAGTATGTTCGCACTGATGAACGCACGGCATGCCTGAAAAAAGGGGGAAATTTATATAAATGAAGTCACATATCCATGTGTGATTCTATCAACAGATCTGCAAGAACATCAATAAATGATCAGTGATCGTTGCACTTAACTACAGCTTTAATTTCGATCGAGTGTGCTTGAATAATAATCAAAGAAAAATTATTAACCCTAAAAAACTGCCAAATATCCCAAAACTTTCCGGTTCCTTTGTTTTTGGTGTACAAACGTTTAACCTTGCATGGCAGCAGGTGATTCGAAAAGATACAGAATAAAATAATTTTACTAATGTCGCGTCGTTTTCTGAACGCAAAAGGAAAGGTTGGGCACTCGACTTTTTACTTTGCCTAGTTTTCATGAGCGTTCAGGCACGACCATAAAGAACTGCAGCAAACAGACTTTATGGTGCATATTGAGTATAGGTTTAATAACTCTTTTTCAAACGTTAATACGGCAGAAACTTCAATTATTCGTGTTTTTCAAATGTCTTTCATCAATTTACGAATAAGAAACGTAAATAAGATAGATTTTTCCATTCAATAGATTTTACCCATTATCGCTCAATTCATCAAGTCGCATTAATATAATGCAATAATGACTACGTAATGTTATCAAACCAGCAATTGGCAGCGGGGCAGTCTCGAAAAAAAGATTTTATCGAAAAAACCCGAAATTGCCAATATGTTTAACAAGCACGCATCTGTATCACGAGTGAAAACACAAGTAGATAATACGATTACACGAATACTAGACAAACCCGTTTAGAAATAGTTTTATAGAAATAAACAGGGACAACAAGACGAGAAAAAGAAAAAAAATTCTAGGAATAAAAGTTATAAATCGGTACCAAAATTTCGCTCCGCCATCTAAAATTTGTAATAAGACAACTGGATACTAAACAAGACGAACATAACGACACGATTCATTCTATTGTGGTAAGAGACAAAAAGTGACATATTTAAAAGCTTTACTATAATCAAATGCTTCAGCCTCGAACAAATATCTGACTCAAACTCGCACAACACGACCGAGACGCCGAGGCTCATATGAGCGGACCAGAAGTGCATTCCTCACGGACTTCCCAGAGAAAAGCACGCACCGAAACGATGATATGTGCTCCAGTTCCCGTATGCAAACGAGGTCGCTGGCAGATAACAGTGCACGCAGTTAAGTGCAAACGCGCACTCATCACGTCCACCTCGCACGCATCGTGTGCACAGGGCTTCGGCAGCTTCAGTTCCCGGCAACGCAACGAATAGAATATTGTACAGGACTAAGCCACCCACCCCAATCGTGGAGCGGCTTGATTCGGTTTCCAAGTTGAACAGGACAATTCACACACCCCCCTCCAATAGTGTACTGTCTTGATTCGGTAGCCGAAATCAAGAGGACGAAGCCCCTCTTCCTATATAATGCATGGGAACATTAACCTGTTTCTAATACTTATAAATTTCTATTCAGATTTAGAGTAATCACCGTGACCTTCAGCCCATGTACAACCTCCGCGTCCTCGTGCAACAGCTTATAGGAGATAAGAAAAAATAACTCGCCATGCAAATAATTCTATAAACGCACATTTCTGAATTCTGTATAGAACACGAAAAACAATGACGTGAGTACATGCCGAACAAATGTCGTCAGTGGCGCGATTGCTTGAGCGATAGCCATTAGCCATGCAGTGCCCAAGCTACGCACGTCTGAGGTCACATTCAAACGCGACGCTGGCGCAACGCACGCGAGCTGCCAGGAGGAACAGGATGCGCGCGCCGCAGTGACATCACCTGCTGCCCAAGTCTATGAGGCGTTCATCCTACTGCATGCGTACAAATAAATACACTCATCGCCATACACCAAGAAATGCCTGTAATTTTCATAAATATGTGTAGCCAAAACCTAGCACTCAATTAAATTACTAGATTACGTACAAAACTGACGTTTTCAGCGATAAATTCTGAGAATTTGCCCCAAGAAAAACAGAATCGTAAAAGGCATTGCAAACATCCATGAGAGGCTCGCTGACCTTCTATAGACAAGATCTTCCTGGAATCATGGTCATAAGTATTTTTGTACAGCAATATTCGGAGAATGAAGCTCATATTCACTATTATATTGTTTCTCAAGCGTGCTATCTTGGCTTGGAGGAGGGGCGGCACTGGACCTTCAAATCGTACTTGAACGTACGGACGTCGTGACCATCAACTGAGGGGAACCCCGAAGCAGAGAACTGGTCCCGCTAATTGCTTATAATTACGTACAGGTTAAATAAGAGGATGATATTTTGCCCACGGTCTCTATATTGGCTCCCTTACACATGATTCTACAAGATTCACGCTCAAAGTTGTGCAAAGCTTGCGCACACATATATACGTAGTCTTTTGGTGAAATTGAAATGGAAAATTTAAACTCACCAAATATTCTCTCAGAGATTCAAGGTTGTATGTAAGTAGGCGAAGAGACGTGCCAACTTGTAACTCCAGATAATTAATTGGTACTAGAGGCTTCAGCACAATGAAGACGCTCTTTCCCGAAATACTGTTTGCAAATAAACAACCAGATAAAAAGCTCTCATGACGGGAAATCTATGATGCGTGAGCCACTGGCCCCGAAGGATCGTTGGAGCGGAACAAATTAACCAACATAAACGGGACACAAGTGATTGCAACGGCTTTAAGCGTTTTGAAAGTGAGCAGCTCAATAATAATAGTTGAGAAATAACGTTAGTAAAATACGCTTCTCTTTCACTGTTGAACACTTTCAGCTTGAACCAGCGATGCAGGACCATCGGAGGCAAAATTTTGTCTGACTTGATAACACTAAGGTAGAAATTGCATCAGAGGTATGATCAATAACTCTCTTCAAATAGAAATTAAAAGAAGCTATAATCAGGTGCATAACAAAAGAATACAAAATACTCTCATTTCAACAGTGAAATTTTTCTATTATATTTTTGATTATATATGAATGCACTTTTGAAGAAATTTGTCGTAACATTTATTCACTGCTGCCTTTGTTGAACAATTTTTAAAACCACCTTGGTGAGGGCCACTTGATAATCCTGATGCAAAGTTTCTGTAGAAATACATGAAAAGCTTAGAAATGCAGAAAACACTTATTGAGTATTAATTAATATCCACAGTTCGCGTCATCAATATTACAGCGACGAACGATATGAACGCTGAGGACAAGTTCTACCGGGAAGCTCATGCAGCTCATGGTCAACTCGGCCATTCAACCAACTCTGGTTGATAAATGAGTACCTGGCTTGTCCAGGGTGTTGTGTAATGCAATAAATGGTTCTGGCGAGTCAGTGAGCCAGTGATGGTCATGGAACTACCAGTGGCACCAAGTGTCCGGAAAAACTGGCCTATCACCCCCTCCCTTACATAGTCGCCACGACCAAGATAGACAATGACACACAAACGCTTGAAAACGAACTACCTTCCACCATAAACATAGTTTTAACGTTATCTGAAAATTCTGATAAATAATTTACATCGAAACATACACAGCGAGAAGACTCCTTAGTCAGGCTACGATAAGCCCAGCAATCCAGGAATGCACATATCCCGTCCACTCAACCCAGGGGTGTTACCGTGTTATCTCGCACTTATAACAGATGATGACAGCCCTCTATGCACTGCGACATTCATCAGACCACAGAGTTATTGCCACACAATCGTGCAATATTCGCCATTTTCTTCTAAATGATTCAAAAGAAGTATTTGAATGGAAAAAGAGTTCTGGGGTGCTTTCTGACACAGCATTCTGACTGCAAACTAGTAGCATTTATTGCTATTTTGTATACAAGGATACCTTACACAAAAAAGGATACCTTCCAAAGTTTCCCGCGTATCTGGATTGCGCAACTGTTGCAATCATCCTGTCGTTGGAACGCAAATTTTCTAAAAGAGATAGGTAACCAGCAAATCTTTGAGTTTTATGTGTTATATCGAAATTGAGTCAATTATTGCGTTTGGTACACTGGTGTCTCAATACGGAGCAGTTGAATATCATTGTTGGTACACATATGGCCCAATACACGGGGTACGTGTTAAAAATACATGCATGAACTTAATGCTAAAATCAGCTAGGTGATCTTATAGATTAAATCAAGAATATGAATAAATCGCGGACTCACCGCCAGGGGATGAGGGAGCGAGGCTGGCGGGGGATGACACCAGAGGCTGCTTGTCACCGCCGCTCGTCACCACCACACGCGTCACCTCCTGCAGCAAATGAACTTCATTACAGCTTCTGAAGGCTAAGTACAATTACAAAATTAGGCTAAGTACAATTAATTTTCTATGAGTATTTGATTTAATCGACAGTTCGGATGCAAATCTTTCATATAGGATTTTTTTTGGTAAATGATTACGGCAGGGTGCACGAAAAAGTCGTTCTGTATCGTAAGTTTATTTGCAGATCATGGTTTCAATGAAGTTATCTAATTCAACGCGGACCACGACTCGTGAGCTCCAACAGCCAATGCTCGCTACGGAAATTTTGCCGAGCATGAATTGATACATAACCGCAGGCCATCGCTGTAAAAATCTTAACATTATTCGCAAACACATGTAATAGATTGAAAGAAATCGTTCAAAGTCAATAGTGTTTCCATAACTAATGCAACGCAATACGCTTATTTGCAACACTGAAATATTCCAGGTAGGTTTCGAAACCAAATTAGAACGGGTAGATCTCTTCTTGTAAATTATATTTAATGAAATGCAGAGCAGGAGAAGCTTGATCACAGAAGCTTTGGACGTCGGAAATTCTTATGCGGTTCTAGTGCAGAATGGCTTGCTCAAAAGAATCTTACCTAAGAAATCCTATTGGTATAAGAACTGCTTAACACTACCTTAGCAAGGTCAAAAGAGCCGATACTCTTCCGATATTAAGAGAGAAAGACGGCACACAGAATGCTCACGTAGTGAACAGGTTTTAAAAACGCAGGCTCTCAACTTTTCCAAGAGACGCATGTGTTGATCCTTAATTCAATTTCAGGAGCTACTGCAAAATGCTGACAATTTCGAACATTAGCTCAACAAATTATTATCTTATCTTCTTTGTATAGAGCAGTGGTTTACAAGTGGGCGATATCGCCCCCCTGTGGTCGGTGGAGAGATCAGGAGGGGGCGGTGAGGAAGAAAGAGGCATGTTGGGAGGTGGCAGTCCGCGAAGTCGAAGTCAGAAGTTTGTACGTTTGTTTGATGAATTGTACACAACACATGTGGAACATGACTCCGAATCGAATGAAATTTTCACGAGCTAAAAATCAACGTTTGGCATTTAGAAATTTATATTCAAAATTTCGTTCAAATCTGTTCAGTAGTTTCGAAGAAATTCTTTGATCACTACGAATTTCGGCCCGTATCGCCATATAACTCCCGAATGAAGGTGAAATTTAAAAATTTTGCACGAGCTAAACATCACCGTTAGGTCCTAATTAATACGTGTTCCAAGTTTTATGGAGCTGCATTCATAAGTTTGTGAGATATTCCTCGGTCACTGAATTTGGAGATTGGCCGTTATGACCGGCTGCGAGACCGGCCACGAGTTCAGCCGTAAATTTGTCCGAGCCGCCTTGAATTTCTAGTGCTGAAACAGTTAAAACTGTAATAAAACTATAAAAAATATTGGTTTACTAAATATGGCTCTATTTGTAAAATACACATTTGAGTTTAACCTCTCTCTTTTAAAATTGCAGCATATTATATATCAAGAAAGAGGCGTTTGTTTTTATATGTGTCTGTCGGGGGGCTGGAGATTCACTGCGGGGCCAAAGGGGGCGCCAGCCTGAAAAAGTTTGGGAACCACTGATATAGTCTACATAATTTTTTTCACACTAGCAAGTAAAATTCAGGTTTTCAGTCTAAGAATAATTATCATCCATTTAGAACTTTGCTGCACAATACATATGCACTCGCGTATACAATCTGAGAGAAAAATATAAAGAAGATTGAATGAACTGCTTTGAAACAACATTGTTTCTTGCATGTGTAATGCAATAGCCTCGAGTCATCCCATACATTCATCTTGCTATGCCATACTGGCGCTGCTCAGTAGGAAACGACGTGTAATGTTAAGACGTTTTCAGAAACCGCATTTGACGCGGCCGCATTGTGGACATGAGAATAACGTAACTTCAGCATCGTGACGTTGTAGTCTAACGAAAAGATTCGTGTAGGAAAAAGAATCACTTTAGTTATTGTCTTTCGTTAAGAAAGCCGTCGGCAACATACCCGGCAATATGCTTCAGTGAGTTGAACTGAACTTCAAAAATTGACTAACGGAATGCATATACAATGGGGTCCGTCATTTGTCCAATGGCATCTTTAAAACAAAGTGATACAAAATTTCAGGTAATGACTTTTGAATTAAATTTATATTGAAATGATACCTTTACTAGTTCTTTTTTATTGCGCTTTCAAATCAGGAAGTTTCCGTGAATCACCATGTACAAGGGCACGCGACTTTATTATTGTCACAGGGATTGCAGAGCGGATTCGAGCCAATAATTATGCAAAAAAAATCCACTGACGTTCTTCAGAGAATGACCACGAGAAGATTCCGTGTTTTGGAGAGATCGAAGTTGATGATGCAATTATTTGCTAAAATTGAACTTAACCTGGAGCGTAACCTAAACGAATTGCAGTATTCTAATTTGAAGTTCCATGTAAATTTAATTGAAAAGTGTTTTAACAAGAGATATATTAGACGATTATTTCCAATTTTATCCCGAGATTGAGTGGGGAAGAGAGGGAAAGAGCGGCCAGCAGTCAAGGTCAGGGACGGACCAAGAGGAGCCACGGGCTATCCTGGCCCAGACGATCGCGAGAGGTCGCGGAGTTATGGAGGCGGTGTGTTCGTATGCATGCAATAACATGTACTGATAATATGAACAACTTAGTAAAAAAACTTTTACCAGTCGATAATATGAAAAGTACAAGCATTAATCGCTTCAGAGTCGTTGCACTTTGAGACGCACGTTCAGCATCTATTGAAGTCAACGATGCACATTAATTGCACAAGCGCGAACATAACATCGCAAAAACCACTCACGTGACCACGCGATAGAATCAATAGATTTTAAGATTTAAAATGTGATTAACAGTTTGGAAAAAAACAATAAGTAATTAGCGATGCAGTAGCTCTACAAAACCTAGTATTTGCTTTGCATTTCGCAAAGGACGAAATCGCAAATTGAAAGAAGAAAAATGTATTTTAATTTCGGTAACTTGGGTTATCACAACATTTAACCCGGAGCGTAGATGTTGCAACTGGCGAAACAGGGCGAAACTTGCGGCCTTGCAGAGTCAGAATGTCCTGCTGGAGACTTGAAAGTTGACCGAAGCAAGTCATGTACAGGCGATAAATCGGGCCGTGATGATGGCACCGCAGGGCAGGACAAGCTCCCTCCTCGCAGTAACTTGGCATTTTGTTCAGCCGCAGGCCTGATTACCAGTGAACACATAGAACTTTAACAGAAGAACATACCATATTATGCCTTGCGGCTACAACAAGCTGACAGTGTAAAGGTGTGGCAAAATACACAGGAACCTCCATGAAGGATATACGAGGGCGACAAATGAGAATGCAAGAACTTCTTGGCTATTGTATGAAATTCAACGACGCCGTGATATTTACCTATCGTAGATCAAGGTTAAATTTATATTTTTGAAGAATTCGGCTGTATTTAAAATAAAACCAATGTCATGCACAGTTTTTAAATGAAAGTAAAGAAAAAAATGAGTGAAGGTAATTGAAAAACCCTCAACTCAATAAAAAAATTATTTTGTTGGTTGGCAAAACAAAGTAATGAATATTAGTGCATTATTTTTGGGCTCTGTGTTTACAACACAATGCATAGTCATTCACCGGAACGTCATAATTTTGAAATTTTTCTTATAATGACTCTGAACCGGCGAGAATACAGCACTGAGACAACACGCTTGGCATCACCAAAAACTCACGAAACACAAAGCAAAAACATTGCAAACATCAGGAGGAACTCATTTACCCTGAGAGGAGGCTTTCGTGGAGGCAGTAGGCCTAAAATTGCTCTATTGTGCAGTGATTCAGCAATAATTGGCGTTGTTTCCTTGCCAGGCGACATAAAACAAAAGCAAGTGCAGCGCATCTCTACTGCACTGCAATGCTTCCTGCAGCACTGCATAGAGAGGACACGTGAGGCGGTGCAAGGGGAGGACACGTGAGGCGGTGCAAGGGGAGGACACGTGAGGCGTTGCAAGGGGAGGACACGTGAGGCGGTGTAAGGGGAGGACACGTGAGGCGTTACAAGGGGAGGACACGTGAGGCGTTACAAGGGGAGGATGATTCGGGTCACGATGCTTACAGTAGAACAAATCGCACGGGAAATACATAGCCGAGTATGCAGCATGCAAGATATTTCAGACTGAGTGTTCCTTCTTTCAGTGAATGCATGGCGGCTTCGCTGTTCAATGTGCCGGTACAGGCACGTATATCGCTGTCATATCTCATAGTGAACACAGACCCGTTCACATTAAGGGTCTTGAAACTAATTGTATACGTTAAATCGCTAAAAAATTATTAATTAGCTTAAAATAACAGGTTAAACGACAATTTTTTATCCACTAAAAGCATGTTCATCATGATATTAATAAAAACAACTGGTGTTTTTGCATGGCAATTTCAGAGGACCTGGATTTATCGTTAAAATAACGCTTGTAAAAAATGGATTAATCGCAGTGAACAAGACATGAATAAGCCTCTACTTCCGAACACGTTCTTCTCAGGAACGGACAAGTGCAGGGTTAGCTCGGAATGATTTCGGAACGAAAATAAAAGTTTTATGGAGGGATGATGGGGTGAAGTTTGCTTGGAGGGATGCTTGAGTGAAGTTTGTTTGGAGGGATGATAGCGTGAAGTTTGCTTGAAGGGACGATAGCGTGAAGTTTGCTTGGAGGGATGATAGCGTGAAGTTTGCTTGAAGGGATGATAGCGTGAAGTTTGCTTGGAGGGATGATAGCGTGAAGTTTGCTTGGAAGGATGATAGCGTGAAGTTTGCTTGGAGGGATGATAGTGTGAAGTTTGCTTGGAGGGATGATAGCGTGAAGTTTGCTTGGAGGGATGATAGCGTGAAGTTTGTAGAGGTAAACAGATTAAGTTTGCTCTAAGGGAGAAAGAATCCTGCAGCGATGAAGTTTGCTGATGCATTTTACCAAACAAGAAATGGCAGTGCTTA